AAATAATTATTAATGGGCTTTGATAATTAAAATAAAATTATATATTAAAAAACATTTTATTGCGTCTAAGCATAGAGCTTGAAACTTGACTTGATGCATCGATCCTTCTCGTTCATTTTTTAAACTTTGGATAGAACTAGTCTATCGGAGCTAGCTCGGATTGAAAACATTTTTTCAAGGGATCCTAAGCAAGCTGATTGTGCAATTCGATTTGTTGTTTTTTTTTTCCCCTTCCTTCTTTCTTTGAGGTGAATTTATTTTTTAACCTTGAGATCCATTATCAAACTATTGTCGTTTGTATCACGTAAGTAGACCGAGTGTAAATACCCTCAATGATTAATTATATAGTTATTAACTTTAATCAACTAGTAATTTTAATTATGGAACACATAATTAATTGTTTGGGTATTGGCTTTGACTCTATCTAATTATCTACTAGAATAAATAATTAAAAATAAGAAAATACATTTTTGAAATGGATCAGAGCACAAAAGGCACTAGGATCGTGAATTTCACCATTATTATCAAATTTATATCCTCAATTACCCATTGATAATCAATTCTTGTATAGGGTAAGAATCAACGATCGGATTCTCGATATCAATCAATTCTAGATTTATACGTGAATTTATTTAGGGAAATAAAAATATGAATTAATTTACAAATATCATCACATAACGTTTCATAGAGAACAAATGTCTGTCTATTTATTACGGGACCTTATCTTGTTTATTATCACTTGTAATTTATGGATCCTCTCGAAAGCAATATTGATCACAAACATGTTTTAATGGTGATCAAACATCAAAATGAAATAAGAGAATAATAAACAATCAACTCAGAAAACAAGAATTAAACAAAAACGAGCAATTAATTAATCAAACAATTAAAAAGGCTTCATAGTTAGTTCTAGCCACAATTTAGCTTGACACGTATTGATCACGGATATACAAGATAAATAGTGAATATATAATTTGGATAGTTTGGAATAAAATATGAGTGCAATCCTTAATCTTGAATATCTTGAATGGGTGTATACGTCTCCTTTTTCCTCTTCAAAATTCAACCAACTCTCAACGAAATTATTGTAATTTTGCTCCAAAAATTTTGGTATATAATTGTGTTGCCGTCCATGATTTTATAGGTGTTGTATAGAATCTCCCATTTGTGTTGACCTAATTATTTCCTCATTATATAACCCTTAAAGTCCAGAGAAAATCATGTCATTTAAGTACGCAAAGTGCACTCGCATTTTGATATAAAATTTAAGTCTCAAACATATAAAAAAAAAAAAAAAAAAAGGCCAACTACAACCGTCGAGAGCTTAGCTACGGTTGATTGTGGCCGACAGATGAAATAAGACCTTCAATTTTGCTCGAATAATGTTTCTAGATGTCAATGTATCGTAAGTCTAATTATATGGATAATATTTCGTTGTATTTAATTAAATTTGAAATTTAATGATACTAGTGTTGATGTGAACCTGCGTAGGCAAACGCTACCAAACCCACAATCAAGATTGAAAATCGACCCAAGAAAGCCTAAACAAGGTTATGGATTAAACTCAATAAAATTGGAACCAAGCAACCCAAATCGCCGATGATGTACGGACCTCTTGATTACGCAAAAATATGCGAATCTCACCCGATTTATTTGAATGCCACAAGATTTAAATTTTGATAAGTTCGTAGATTGTCCAATTGAAGAACACAGAAAGAAAGCAATAAAAGTGTTTCATTAATAATAATGTCAGAAGTGGTTCTGAAACAATGGAATGAGAAAATATTTATACTAATCCTAAAATCTAGGTAATTTCATGCATAATAGTCCAAATTTGGTAGGAAATAACTTAAATATGGAATTATAATAAAACTAGGAAAATTGTTAAAAAAAAGAAAAAAAAAAGCGTCCAGACTTAACCATGCGGTCGCATGGTTTGGCCTCCGACTCCGTTTTCATCAACCTTTAACACATTGACCCAAGCTTCTTCGAACTTCAACATGATGCTTGTCTCATTTTGAATTCCAAACATGTTTTCATCAACAGTTGCCTTGACAAGCAATCCCATCGCCTCTTTCACTCACTTCCCCCTAGATCACGTCATCAGTCCACCATCGCTTATTAATGGATCTTTCTCCGGGCTTGACGTTGGACTTGACTTCAACGCTAGCGTGTCCTGGATTACATCATCCCTTCCCTGTTCAGAAGGATTCGTTCTCGAATCTAAACCTACATCAAAGAGAGAAAAATCAGACACATTAAAAGTTGCTGAAACGCTATACTCAACTGGAAGATCTAATTTGTATACGTTGTCATTGATCTTCTCAAGTATTTGAAACGGTCCATCCCCCCGTGGTAACAATTTTGATTCCTTTGCTCTCGAAATCACTCTTTCCTTAAATGTACCCAAATCAAATCTCCTGGTTCGAAGGTAACAATCTTCCTGCCCTTATTTGCTTGCTTGGCATAATGCTTGCTCTTCTTCTCAATTTTCTCCCGTACCTTTTCATGGAGTGACTTCACCAACTCGGCCTTCTTTTTTCCATTCAAGCTACCTCGTTCATTCACAAGCAAAGGTATTAAATCCATAGGTGTTATTGGATTAAAACTATAAACAATCTCAAATGAAGAAAACGATGTAGTGGAGTGTGTGGCCCTACTATATGCAAACTCTATGAAAGGTAAACATTCTTCCCAATTTTTCAAGTTTTTATTGACCACAGTACGCAATAGTTGTGTCATGGTCCTATTCACTACTTCGGTTTGACCATCGGTTTGTGGGTGACAAGTTGTAGAAAATAGTAATTTCGTGTCTAACTTATTCCACAAGACCCTCGAAAAGTGACTAAGAAATTTGACATCCCTATCTGACACAATACTCTTAGATACTCCATGCAAGCGTATAATTTCTTTAAAGAACAAGTCTATAATGTTAGTGGCATCATCGGTTTTGTGACATAGAATGAAATGTGCCATTTTACTAAACTTATCCACCATTACAAAAATCGAATCCTGTCCCTTTTTAGTTTTAGGTAAACCTAACATGAAATCCATGGAAATGTCTATCCAAGATTCACTAAGCACTGGCAAAGGTGTGTAAAGTCCATGAGGTAAGACCCCAGATTTAGCTTTTTTACAAGTTATGTATCGATTGTGAATCCGTTCCATATCAACTTTCATTTTAGGCCAATAAAAATGTTCAATTAATATTTCTAAAGCCTTTGCTATCCCCAAAGTGACCCATTAATCCCCCACTATGTTCTTCTCTAACCAACAACTCACACATAGAGCAATGAGGAACACATAATTTGTTTTCTCTAAACAAGTAATCATCATGCTTAAAGAACTGATCTACAGCCCCCTTATGACATGAATTGTAAATGTTGAAAAAATCAAGATCATTATCATACATACACTTAATGTACTCAAAGCCAAGTAATTTCACACTTAAAGTAATTAGAAGCACATACCTCCGCGACAATGCATCTGCTACCACATTTTCCTTACCTTGTTTGTAATGGACGACATATGGAAAAGTTTCTTTGAATTCCATTCAGCGTGCATATCGTTTGTTCAACTTATCTTGACCCCGCAAATGCTTCAACGATTCATGGTCGGTGTGAATTATGAACTCCTTTGGCCATAGATAATATTGTCATGTCTCCAAGGCTCGAACAAGTGAATAGAGCTCCTTATTATATGTAAAATAGTTGAGACTTGTACCACTTAGCTTTTCACTAAAGTAGGCTATCGACCTCTTATCCTACACTAAGATTGTTCCAATACCTATTCTTGATATATCACACTCAATCTTGAAAGTTTTGTCAAAGTTGGGAAGTGCTAAAATCGGTGCTTTACATAAATAATCTTTGATAGTGTTGAATACATGTTTTTGTTCTACCCCCCATTGAAACCCCACATTTTTCTTGATAATTTCAGTTAGTGGCGTGGTAATCGTGCTAAAGTCCCTAACAAAACATCTGTAAAAACTAGCCAATCCATGAAAACTTCTAACTTCAGTTATGTTTTTAGGTGTTGACCAATCCTTAATAGTCTTTATTTTCTCTTCATCTACCTCTACATCATTAGCACTAACTACAAAGCCTAGAAATACAACCATATCTATGCAGAATGTGATCTTTTTAAAATTGGCATAAAGTTGTTCTTTCCTCAAAACCACAAGCACACACCTCAAATGTTCTAAATGCTCATCAAAATTCTTGCTATAGATTAAAATGTCATCAAAATAAATTACAACAAAATTTCTAATGAAAGCACGCAAAACATGATTCATTAGTCGCATAAAAGTGCTTGGTACATTTGTGAGCTCAAACGGCATGACTAATCATTCATACAACCCGTATTTAGTTTTAAAAGCCGTCTTCCATTCATCACCCTCCCTCATACAAATTTGATGATACCCACTCTTAATATCAATTTTGCGAAATATGCACGCACCATGTAGCTCATCTAACATGTCATCTAGTCTAGGAATTGGGTGGCGACATTTTACCGTGATGTTGTTGATGGCTCAGCAATCCACGCACATTCTTTAAGTTTCATCTTTCTTTAGCACCAGCAGTACAGGTACGGCACATGGACTCATGCTTTCTCTCACATAATCCTTGCTCATTAATTCCTTCACTTGTCTCTGAAGCTCCTTTGTCTCCTCTGGATTACTCCGATAAGCTGGTCAGTTAGGAATGACAGCTCCAGGTATGAAATCAATTTGGTGTTCAATTCCCCTAATGGGTGGTAACCCACTAAGCACGTCCTCCAAAAATACATCTTCAATTTCCTGCAACAACGAAATAGCCAAATTAGGAAGGGATGTGTTGGGCTCCTCAAAGTTGAGGAGTAACTCCTTTTAAACCAATAGTATCATTTGTTACCTCTCCATTATTGCCTTTTTCAATTCATTCCCTCTCACAAAGAAATTTTGTTTCGACTTTTCTAGCATCATGAAAGACTTTTTCTTTTTTCTTATGTGGCTCCACTCTCTTTTCCTCTCTATTGGCCACATCACTAATTTCTCTCTTTTTCTCTAACTCCCTTACTCTCGATTATTCTTCATTTTTCAGTTGAATTTGGTCCTCATATACTTGTGCCAATGTTAATGGCGCAAGAGTGAGAGGCCTCCATCTTTCACAAAAATATACTTATTCTTATACACATCATGCACTGCCTTCCTATTGTATTGTCATGGTCTTCCTAACAAGATATGTCCCGCATGCATAGGTACAATGCCACACATCATCTCATCTTGATATTTACCAATGAAAAAATTAATTAACACCCTTTTTGTCACCTTGATTTCCCCACATTCATTTAACCATTGTAATCTATATCGCCGAGGATGCTTTAATAATGTTAAACCTAATTTTTCCACCATATTAGTGCTAGCCACGTTAGTACAACTTCCACCATCAACTATATACAACATACCTTGCCATTGACGTGACACTGCGTGTGGAATATGTTTTCTCGCTGTTGTTCCAAGTCATCCACTTTGATTTGAGTGCTAAGAGCTCACCTCACGACCAACAGCTTACCACCAACTATATATTCCATGGTGTCTTCCTCATCAGCATCCTCCAATTCTGGCATGTTTGCATAATCACTTTCACTTTCAATTTCCACTTCCCCACTGTCCTGCAGAATCATTGTTTTCTTGTTTGGGCATTAGGAAATAGTGTGCCCCGTTCCCAAGCAAGAAAAATATTTGATATCCCTGTTTCTTGGTGGCTGCGACTCCCCCTTTGGTATGGCCTTGCTAACACCTTCTTCCTTGCCTCTTGCAACAGTTCGATCTCCTTTGTTATTTTCCCGCTTCGGCTTCCAAGAAGGCTTAGAACCCGAAGATCCACATTGGTACCTTGCTGTCCCTTATCGCTTCAAATACCTCTCTACCTTCATGGCCACATGTAGCATATCTTCAATTTCCACATAGTGTTGTAATTCCACTACATTTGCGATGTCCTTGTTCAACCCACTCAAAAATTGAGCCATAGTAGCTTCCCTATCCTCCTCCACATTTGCCCTAATCATTAGCATTTTCATCTCCTTATGGTAATCTTCCACACTCCTAGAGCCTTGACATAAATTTTGCAATTTTTGATGAAGCTCCCGGTAGTAGTGATTAGGTACAAATCTCTTCCGCATTATAGTTTTCAATTCCTCCCATGTGTTGATAGGGCGTTCCCCACTTCTCTGCCTCGTAGTCACCACTTGATCACACCAAGTAATGGCATAATCGGTGAACTCAAGGATTGCAATTTTCACNTAGGTCTTGTAATGTGTATTATATTACGGATCAAATTTTCATCATGTTAAACTAAGCTCAGTACAAGGCTTTTACAAAAAAAAAATAATAATAAAAAAAAATAAAAAAAAAATGAAGGCATTAGACTTTACACTGGAAATCCAAGAAAAACACTTTTATTGTTTGTCATATAAATTACAAAAATAACTTTTAAGTATAATTAACTAAACACAGCCTTTACTTATACAACAAACATGCAAAGTGAAAAAATGATGTGAGGTTAATTTAAGAAAGTTCCGTGCGGACCTAACTCGGAAAATGAAAGGAAAGTATTGATATCATTTCATATTAGATTCGTTAAGCCATCCACCCTAAAAGTTCTTGCTGTTTCAAAGGTCAAATTCTGCGTAATGGGTTACCCAAAATGACCAGCTTATTCTATTCATTAAACGTGTGGAAATTAAAAGGAGCAGCCATCAACTGATTTACTTCGTAACCTTATAAATACATTAAACACTCAACAAGACATCAACACAAAGAAAATGATATTTGAATAGAGAGTAAAAGAATGTGGTTTGTAGAGTTTAAAGTGTAGTATACAAAAGATTAATACAACTACAATGCGGAATAATAAACTCTCAAAGTATAAAACCGAACCAAAGACGACTCAAAGCTTCTTCAACACCACAAATGAAGTGTTTTTGATATTAAGCTCAGATTTGTGCCACACCAGATTATGCACCGTCGTCCACGGGAATGGCAACGGATATATCGAAAAAGGATCCGCCGGAAACCACCAAGCACTTCGCCGAAGTTATGGAAAGCTCCCACTTGGTTACCTCTCTATACTCTCTCTCAAATGTTATGCCAAGTCCAAGTATAAGAGAATGAAAAGGTCTTGTAATTATAGAGTCAATTCATTTGAATTCAAAATTGAAATATTGTACTATAGTCTAGAGAGTGACAACACTAGTATAGATAATTAACGACAAGATTAAATCCTAACATAATTCAAGTCACATTCTCTAGACCAATCAACTTGCATCAATATTATGATGTGATCCACCTTACATGGTTGATTCTGAAGGTTTTGATCTTACATTTCGTTGGGTTTCTTCTTCTCTGTGGAGTACTGCCTACTCATGCTCAAGAACGTGGCTAGAAGTTTGTGGTAAGTATATTGCATGCTTCAATTAGTCATTGCATCTGTTTGGCAACAATTTCACATTTTTTGAAGGTAATAAGCTTGGTTTTTGCAGCTAAGAGATGCTCCATACACGAGGCTTTGCACTAACAAGACTATTTTGACAATAAATGGACAATTTCCGGGGCCAACTATATACGCCACAAAAGGAGAAACGGTTATCGTTGATGTTTACAATCGAGCACATGATAACATCACCATTCACTGGTATAAACATCTGTACTTACTATACAGTTGTGATCAGTCAAATATATCATTTTGTTAGCAATGGAGACCAGATTCAGCATTGTACTAAAGTTAGGTTAATTTTGCAGGCATGGAGTGAAAATGCCAAGGTATCCACGGTCAGATGGTCCCGAGTATGTCACTCAATGCCCAATTCGACCTGGAAAAAAGTTTAGCCAAAAGATTGTCCTCTCAGACGAANCGAGATAACACTAAACAAAACAATTGATGAACAAATGCGCGAGTTGGTCGTGAAGACGCATGAAATGCAACACGAAAACGAACCTTGGAGAACTTTATATGACAGAAAGAAAGACAAATTGTTTGCACATGATGCATATAAAGCAATTCTGTGGGTATGGTATCAAATGGATATTATGTATATCGTGAGTATATAATGAGTCGTTGTGTATTTCATTATATGCTTTGCATCTCCAATGTTAATGTAAATAGAACTAAGAATATTGTAACATAGATTAAAATGAACAAAATGTCAACTAAAGCTCCTCGTTAATGCAACATGTCTACAACCATTGAAAATTTATGTAAGTAAATTTACGTACAAGTAATCAAATAAATTTTAATATAAATAATTTTTTTATTGCTTGAAATTAGACATAAAAATTCACGTATTTTGATGTTAACATTTACCTTACTGGGAGAATAAATCATCCTTTTACTTTTAAGTTAAATAATGTGATCTATTTAAAAAAAAATTTAAAACAAAAATTTGCTTTTGACTTTTTATTCCTTTAAGCTTTATCCAAACATGCTGTGCTGGCGTGTGTTATAAATAAAACCAACATGGTTATTTTAATTAAGAATGTTGGAATGGAATCACATTCCTACATTAATTCAAAAGGAATATTAGATTTATACAGCTAATGCTATAACTTGACAGATCATTTTAATTATTGAAAGAATAATACTATTTGCAGTCGCTCGCTATCAAAGTCGTCCTATATGACATATATGTGACGGTTAGTGATCTGTTACATAAAGTAATAAAAAACTACTACATTAACGTATCAAATCACTAACCGCCACATGTATACCACATAGAGTGATTACGACAGTGAGTGACAACATTACTCTTATTGAAATCGTAGCTACCATACTTAGCCGCCTGGAGGAGGGTCTTGCCTTCAATAATTTTAAGACAACTTGTGCATCAGTACAAATCAGCAAAAGCTTATTGCTTTAATTTGTCAAACATCTCTTTCATTTCTTGTTTCTTCAATACAAGAAAAGATTATTTATTTTAGCTCTGTGTTCAACTATAATCCTTTTGGATTAGAAACTTTATTGGTGACCATAATTTGAAAATATGTTGCTTTAGTTACCGAACATTTTTATAGTTTAGATAGTAATTGAGCTTACAAATTAAGTGGGCAAACGTAAACGACAACATTGCCAAATTCAACCAAATTGATATGTAAAATTGTTTTTCTCTCCGTGTTGAGCGAATAAATGGATTTATTCAAGTTAATAAAAATGTTAAAGCATTTAAAAAAAGTGTTGCAAAACCAAAATTGATTGTAAAATTAGTTTCTTTAGCCTTATTCATGCTATACTAGTAAACTATGTAATAAAGCAACGTCGTTAGATACTTAACAAAACCGTTAAATTTACTCAAATACGTCATTAGTGACATGTTTGAAGACCATTTATGCAAAGAAAAGTTCGATTACTAGTATGACACATTTTGAAAGTACGATAATCACTTGAGTTTTTACTTTTTAAATCTAATCCTTTTTCTTTTGAATAATGTTATTCATCGACATGTTATCATTACCGGTCTAGATTGCCACAAATCCTTCGATTCATTTTCTAATACATTTAAATGCAGCACAACTTCATTTTACAATGATCGAGAACGTTCACTATCACCATTAATAATAAATAGTATTACTCTTTTCTTTTTGAAACTTTTCATCTAAAAAGTTAGATTAATTTTTTATAAAAAGGAAAAAAACACGCACATATATATATATATATAGTGGAATTTAATTTCATGATTGAGCCATGTGTTGGCCGCTTGTGAAAATCGAGGTAACAATTAGGATATTACTAGGAAAGGATACTTCTCCTTTGTTGGATTATCATGGTAACGAAACTCGTTTTCAAAAGTACTGATTCTTTGGATAATATGCATGGTCTACGCCACTAACATACCATTTCATGTATAATATTAATATATGAAGTTTTGCGTGGGCTGCTAAATAATTTTCCCTTTCAAAAGGTCAAATTCAACCGGTCTAGATTGCCACAAATCCTTCGATTCATTTTCTAATACATTTAAATGCAGCACAACTTCATTTTACAATGATCGAGAACGTTCACTATCACCATTAATAATAAATAGTATTACTCTTTTCTTTTTGAAACTTTTCATCTAAAAAGTTAGATTAATTTTTTATAAAAAGGAAAAAAACACGCACATATATATATAGTGGAATTTAATTTCATGATTGAGCCATGTGTTGGCCGCTTGTGAAAATCGAGGTAACAATTAGGATATTACTAGGAAAGGATACTTCTCCTTTGTTGGATTATCATGGTAAGGAAACTCGTTTTCAAAAGTACTGATTCTTTGGATAATATGCATGGTCTACGCCACTAACATAACATTTCATGTATAATATTAATATATGAAGTTTTGCGTGGGCTGCTAAATAATTTTCCTTTTCAAATGGTCAAATTCCGGTTGTTGGAATATAAATACAAATGCTTGTGCTAATATGTCGAGACTCACACGAAAAGAATATTGGAATATAGAGAAAAATAATAATACATGCGGTAGTTATATGCTTTTTAAATATTATTGAAGTTAGAAAAATAATATTTAGGGATGCATCTATATAATGTCCGACAAAATGATATGTTCATGAATAACAGTAATTTTAGATTAAAGTGAATGAAATTGGAGTTGAGGACCAAGAGGCAATAGTCGTATTATGAGTGCGACAATGATTTAAATTTAATTAAAAGATAAATGTGAAACGCGCAATATGTATTACTTTGAACTTTATGACTTATTTCCCTTTTCTCATCCTTCCCTTCTTTTCTTTCTTTCTTTATTTATTGTAATTATAATCAAAATAAATTCAAGTCATTTTTTAGAAAAATAAAAACGTAATTCGAGTCAAACTCCAATAAGCGGTAGATAAATTCTACATAAATATTGTCAAGTTGTGGAGGCCACACTGCAACCAGTTTACGAATTAGTGGGGGTGGTTGCGTTGGGCTCCACTTACATGGATTATTAATTAGTTAATTAATTAGACCGAACGTATTACTTTTGGGGCGTGCCGTGCTTCGAAAGTAAGGCCAACATGGAGATTCTTAATTAAGAATTAAACAAACTGATTAGAGCTCTACCGACACACTTTTAACTTATTAACTATTTTAATTATGAAATCATGGCTGCCCTTAGCAGCCTAGTACGTTGTTTTGCGTTCCCTAATATTAATTTTAATTCAATTTTGGTCATTTTTATGGTTGTTGTAATTAGTTGAATACCTGCAAAGAAAAAAAAAACAAAAACCTTGATTCTTTAGTTTATCTATAATTCCCTTTTGTCAACATCTCATTTTTCTAATTTTCCTTTAGAAATAAAAACTTTTTAGAATAAGTAATTGTTAAGGAGATTCGTTAATCCTTCGAAGCAGACAGTGGTCATGTTGAAATATCGTCATCATCCATTCATAAAAAATCATCCACATCGTAGTTTAACGATAAAATACATTCAACCTGCACATGCCCAAATACAAATTAAGACGAAGAAAAAGATTAAACTTCTAAATGGGTAGTTCTAAATTTTTGACCACTTTAGAATGACTAGACTTAATATTGAGTAATGCATAAGATTAAATTGTAAATGGTTAACCGATACACACAAATTTCTGTTCTGGTCTTTCTTAAAATTCAGAATGTGCAGACATTGACCAAAAATGTCAAATTATTCACCAATTGATCAACCTTGATTTTGTCTGGATCTTAACATGTTATCAGGTTTTGATAGGTCGCATAAGGGTATTTTAAAATAACCCAAATGATTTGTCATGAAACTGTGGGCAACTATTGAGATGCAAACTGTATTTTTATACCTAACCCAAAATATTTTTCTTTAATCCAAGAATTAATTTTTATTATTACTAAACTTCAAAAACGCAAGGGAAAGTCATATGATTATGGATTCATACTACGAGATTCGTTAAGACATTGATGAAGACAATTTCTTCCTGTCTGAAAGGTCAAATGCAGTGTCTTAACAAATATGCTTATTTTAATCTTATCGTGAACGTGGAAAAAAGGAGCAGCCGCCAGCTTTCTTCATTTCCAGACCTTATATAAAGTAATAAGAATTTGTGCTAAAAACCACAAAAAACAGATATTCGAAGAAAGCTAGGAAACATTAATGCGGTTGAATATGAAAATTTCTGTTTTGCATTTCATCGGATTACTTCTTCTCGGCGTTGTACTGCAAGCTGATGCTTTGGAACGTCGCTACAAGTACGTGGTGAGTACAATGCTTGTGTCACAGCATACTTCCCTTTCTTAGTAGCCTCTAATATTCAACTTTACATATTCTTAATATTTTTGACAGTACAATTTCATGATTTTGAAGCTAACCTTCTGATTTTGCAGTTGAGGGAGACTCCATACACTAGGCTTTGCACCAACAAGACTATCTTGACAATAAATGGGAAACTTCCAGGACCAACAATATATGCCACTAAAGGAGAAACGATCATTGTTGATGTTTACAATCGAGCAAATGCGAACATCACTATTCACTGGTAAATATATTACCAACCAGCAATTCATATATTAAGGCGATACTGCTATGTGTATTATGGGTCTTAATTTAAGCCTTATGCTAAAATTATATTGATTTTGTAGGCATGGAGTGAAAATGCCAAGGTATCCGTGGTCAGATGGACCTGAGTATGTGACTCAGTGCCCAATTCAACCTGGAAGAAAGTTTAGCCAAAGGATTGTGCTTTCGGACGAGGAAGGAACTTTGTGGTGGCACGCTCATAGTGAATGGTCACGGGCTACTGTTTATGGTGCAATCGTTATTTATCCAAAGAAGAAAAATGACTATCCTTTCCCTAAGCCTCATGCAGAAAAACTCATCATTCTAGGTACGTACATGGCAAAATATTGTTTGTTTCGAATTCGAAAAAAGGTACAGAAAAATAGAAAAAAAAAATTATATTGAAACCAGAAGTAACTCAATCTTTGAAGCTGTTGCAATTCAGGAGAGTGGTGGAACAGAAGTGTGGAAGAGGTTCTTAGTGAATTCATGGCAAGTGGAGACGATCCAGAAGTTTCCAACGCTTTCCTTATAAATGGTCAGCCTGGGGATCTATATCCATGCTCAAGATCAGGTTTGTAGCTAAATCTTGACTATGGTTTTTGTTTCTGAAATACAGAGAACATGCAATCGCAAATTGCTTAAAACATTGTGCAACATAACCATGATAGATCTATTTAAAAAAATTCCCCAATTGTAAGAGTTGGTATGGATTCATCATCGTGACGTGACAAAGAATAAAATGAACATCGTCTAGAGCTCCATCTAAATTCAAAACATTTGCTATATATTCTTACTCTACAAAAATTATACTTCATATGTAGATTTAACTTTGATTTTGTATTTATTTAAAAATAATAATAAAACATACCTAGATAATTCATCAGACAAACTTTCAAATCTTCATCCCCTAGACCATAGAATATATTAAAAATGCTCTAATGTATAGGTAGGAATTTTCATGCCCCCTACTTTCGCCTAGATGTGAAGTTTTTGTTTGTCCACTACCTCATATATTAAAGAAAAATTATTACAACCCTTACCTCGTTGGCCACAACTCAATTTATAGCCTCTGTTTGTTTAGATAAAAATCAATTTTTTAACCCTCGTTTGAGCCCCATTTTTTTATCAAAATATATTTTTTAACAATAATTTGACCACATTTTTTAATAAAATAATATTATATTATATACAAATTTAAAACTTTTCTTATCTTTTAACTACACATTCTCTATCCTAACACTATTTCAAAGGCATTTAAAAAAAAATGGGGCTTAAACAAATAGTAAATTTTATAGAAATTGATGGAATGCGTGGCTAAATGTTGTGGATCTCATAAAATGTATTGTTAAAATTAATTGTTAACTTAAACTTAGATTTTAATCCACTTTTGTAGATGAACCAATCAGGGCATAATGAAAATATGTAAAGTAATATTAAAGAAGTAGAATGAATTCTTACGTGATACTAACTCTAATTTGGGTTAAAATTTGCAGATACATTCAAGTTGACGGTGGATTTTGGCAAGACTTATTTGCTACGAATGGTTAACGCAGTTATGAACAACATTATGTTCTTCAAAATTGCAAACCACAATATCACTGTAGTCGGATCAGATGCCAGCTACACCAAGCCTTTCAAGAGTGATTATATTACCATCGCTCCTGGCCAAACCATTGATATGTTGTTGGAAGCTAACCAAAATCCTAGCCACTACTACATGGCTTCCAGGGTTTATGCTAGTGCAGGAAATTATGACAATACAACTACAACAGCAATTGTTGAGTATCGAGGAAATTATACTCCACCAGCATCACCATTACTCCCAAGTTTTCCTGATTTCAATGATACAAATGCTTCAGTTAATTTCACTGGACAACTCAAAAGTTTAGCAAATAAGAAATATCCTGTTGATGTCCCTTTAAATGTGACCACTAAATTATTCTTCACCCTTTCAATCAATTTAATCCCTTGTGCCAATAATTCATGCGGAACTTTCAACGGCCGTCTTTCAGCAAGTGTGAATAACATAACCTTTCAGCTACCTAGAGTCGACATTCTTCAAGCTTATTATAGGCGCATCAGAGGTGTTTATGGAAATGACTTTCCCAACAATCCACCATTTCAATTCAATTATACTCAGGACTTTGTCCCTCAAGACCTGTGGGCGCCTCAAAATGGAACAGAAGTAGTAGTTCTTGACTACAATTCCACGGTGGAGCTTGTCTTCCAGGGAACAAACACAGTTGCCGGGATAGATCATCCCATGCACTTACATGGATATAGCTTTTATGTGGTTGGGTGGGGATTTGGAAACTTCGACAGAGACAGAGATCCACTGAATTATAATCTCATAGACCCTCCTCTAATGGAAACAATTGCAGTTCCTAGAAATGGTTGGACAGCAATCAGATTCAAGGCAAATAATCCAGGAGTTTGGTTTATGCATTGCCATTTTGAGCGTCATATAAGTTGGGGAATGGGAATGGCATTCATTGTTCGAAATGGCAAGAGCCGACATGCTAAAATACTGCCTCCACCTCCAGACATGCCAAGGTGTTAATGCTGAACAAAATGGATATCTCTTGTGTATGTGATTTAATACTAGTGTGTGCTTTTGTTGCAGCTTTGTTAGTGTGCTTCCTTTTTTGTAATCTGAAATTATAATTCGTTTGAGAATAATTTGTAAACGATTTAATTTATAAATAAGTTAAAAATAAAATATTATCTAAATTTTGTTCAACGTGTTAGAATCATATTAAGGAATTGAACTATGGTTGACTTTTATAACATAGTTTATGATCGATATTTCAGTTAACGAGTTGAATAGATTTTGTTAGGTTTAGATGTTAGTCGTGCAATCTATAATTTGTTAAAATTATGTTCTTAGATTTTAAATTTTTATGTAATTGTGGAGGTAAGATTGTTGCCCCTTCCTTTGTGAATTTTTCTTTCATATTGTTCAAAATACGTGTAATTTGTCATGAGAGTTTTAATTAATAGCTTAAAAGCTATAGTCTAACTCGGGCTAGTCTTTAAAGGGGGAAAAATCTCAAGGTACTTCTCACGAAATACATCCACTTCATATTCAACTGATGTTTCAGATCATAAAGTAAGACTTTATGTCCACCTCTTAATTTATATTAAGTTTCATAGATTGATTAATAATCCATCAAATGTGGTAGTTTTTAAAATACATACTTTAATATATAAATTAAATTATCCATCGCAAGTCCACTGGGGATTGTTTTTGTAGTTGTTGTCTAGTTGTGTAAAATCAACATGGTTTACGAAGATTACTTTTTCGTCAAGTTGTCATAATATTTATGACAAATAAAGCATCAGTGATTTTATTTATTTATTATTTTATTTTATTTTTTTCCCTTTTTGTCACTCCGCAGCTAATACTTCTTGTTTCATCAGTGAAGGCATTATAATTGCTGATGGTTATTCCATAACAAATCTCGGTGCTGATCATATCTGTTAGGATCTTCCTCAAACTGTTCAAAGTGATTTCCGGGCTCAGTTAACCATTAAACATCGAATTCAATCACCAAACCGAGAGATGACCGACGCCGGAGTCCGCCCACTTCCTATGGTTGCTTTTCTCTTTTGCTTGTTGATTCTACCACACACTTAGGATGGATACCACACAGGTAAGAGTCAAAAAGCCTCAAGCAATTGGTAGGGAAGGTAACTTGGCAGGAAGCATGAAGGAGAAGAAGAAGAATAGCACCTCTCTCTCTCGGGTTCTCTTCAAGCACGGCTCCCTATCAACTAGTTCTTCGTAACTAGCGTATGCAAAATCCAATTCAGATTCATACCCGAACCTCCTAGGTTCTCTCGTTTGCCTTCTCTCTCTATCTCTAACTAAGTTATAGTTAGCTAATGGATTTTCTTCCTCAGGATGCTCTTCTATTACTACTTCATTTTCCTCTTCAGGTTCTTGGACCTGAATCTCCACCTCACTCGAAGTACTAGGTACTGATGTGTTAAATTTTCCTAACTCCACCTTAAACCGATTTCTTTCTTCACTTGATTCAGTTTCACTTACAGGTTCGGTTTCGTTCTTTAGACAATGCATCTCATTCTCATTAAATGTGACATCCCTACTCACGATGATCTTAACTCCTTTTTGGCTTCTATCCCATAGCCTATAGCCCTTAACCCGTTCGGGATATCCTAGAAAGACACACTTCCTGGCTCTAGGTTCTAACTTTCCCTCACTTTGATGAGAAAAGGCAGCACAGCCAAACACTTTAAGCATTGAGTAGTCACCCAATTTTTCAAACCATTTCTCATGTGGAGTATCACCATTTAATGCAGCCGATGGAGTCAAATTTATTAGATAACAGGCAGTGACAACGGCTTCACCCCAAAATGACTTAGGAACCCTAGAACTTAACATCATGCAGCGCACTTTGTCTAGTATGGTCCTATTCATTCTTTCTGCTACTCCGTTTTGCTGGGGAGTATAAGGAACCGTTTTGTACCTTGTTATTCCACTTTCTTTACACATCCTATCGAATTTAGCATTACAGAATTCTAGGCCGTTATCTGCCCTTAAAAATTTGATCCTCTTTCTAGTTTGATTTTCCATTTGTTTCTTCCAATTGTTAAAGTTATGGAAGGTTTCAGTTTTGTCTTTCAATAGATAGACTCACACTTTCCTAGTGTAGTCATCTATGATAGATAGGAAATACCTATTCCCACCCGATGTGGGATTACTAGCAGGACCCCACAGATCAGAATGCACATATTCAAGCATGCTTTTAGCCTTATGCGTACTGGTGGAAAACGACACTCTATGGTGCTTTCTTAGCACACAGTGATCACAAAACGATAGGTCAGACACACAGTCATTACCAAATGCACCTTTTTTGTTTTGGCGGAAGAAATAGAGGAGTTTAATCCTCTAATCACTTCCCCAGTAGTGATGTAAATGTCATTTTTCTTGATTCCCTTAATAGAGATTAACGCACCCTTCATCATTTTAAACATACCGTTTTCAATTTTACCGGTGAAGTTGTCTTTCTCAAGTCTTCCTACTGAAATCAAATTCCTAGATAATTTCGGAATGTATCTAACTTCCTTTAACATGTACACAAAGCCTGTGTTAAATTTTATCTTTATATCTCCAATTCCAGCAATTGTATAGGCAAAGTTATCACACAGAACTACTTGCCCATCATTAGATTCTTGCAAGTTTTCAAACCAGTTCTTTTCAGATGTCACATGAAAAGACGCACCAGAATCTAATATCCATTCATGCATGTGAGAATTAGTAGTTAGATTTAATTCAGTAGTGTATGCGACTGGACTAGTGATCACATAGACTTCACCGTTTTCTGTATCGAAGGTAGAGGATAACACATTTACCTCATCTCTTTCCTTAACCTTCTGTTTTCCCTTTTCTTTATGACAGTCTTTTATAAAATGTCTTGTGCCTCCACAGTCATAGCATTTTCTACCCTTAGTTCTAGACTTTGATCTAGGTCTACCATTCCCCTTCTTTTTCCAACTATTACTACTGGATTCGCCACTACTTTTGTATCCATCATGACTGGCTTGCCTAAATTGTGTTCTACCCTGCATCATATGCAACTCTCCACTCCTCCTATCCTGTTTGTCAGCCCTCATTTCCATCTCCTTACTCCTAAGAGAATCTATGACAATTTTAGGTGTTAACGTGTCCCTGCCATACTTAATGGCATTTTTAACTTCTTTATAAGAGTCCGGGATTGAATTGAATAAGATATTACCTTATCACGCTTCCCAATACTACTTCGTGTGGTTTAATTAGTGTGTTAACCAATGACAACACATAATTTTGATTTGGGAATTTTTAACGGTAAATGGGACTTCTCTATCTGGCAACAAAAGATGAGAGACATACTAGTCCAACAAAAGGTGTCAAAAGCCATCGAAAGCAATTTTGCACTTGATATCTCAAAAGAACAAAAAGAGGAAGCCGATGAGCTTGCCTATACCTCAATAATATTACACTTGTCTGACGCTGTCTTAAGAAAAGTGGGAAAACTAAAAACCACCAAAGAACTTTGGAAAAGACTAGAAGACTATTCATAGCCTCTTCAAAAGTTTCTGGCTCCCTATACGGTCTAAAGCAATCACCTAGACAGTGGTACAAGAGGTTTGATTCCTTTGTACTCACTATAGGATTTCAAAGAAGTAAATTCGATCACTGCCTGTACTTTCAACACAACGAGACTGATAACAATTATTTATTCTTGTTGCTCTATGTGGACAACATGCTTTTAGTTGGATCATCTCATAAGTGGATAAACAATATAAAAGCAGATCTTAGTGGAGAATTTGACATGAAAGACCTAGGAAAGGTTAAAAGGATTCTAGGCAGGGAAATAGAACGAAATAGGTCAAATTCCATCATATTCTTGCATCAGTCTCCATACATATCAAAGGTGTTGAAAAAGTTTAATATGAGTGACTGCAAACCTGTCACGTTGCCTCTTGCAAACCATTTTGTTCTATCTAAGGAACAAGCTCCCTGCAATGAACGTGAAGTGGAATACATGAGTAAAATTCCATACTCAAATGTGATTGGTTCCATAATGTATTTGATGGTTTGCACTAGACCGGACTTAGGATTCGCTGTTAGTACTCTCAGTAGGTACATGTCTAATCCAGGTCCTGAACATTGGGAAGCATTAAAGTGGCTTTTAAGATATTTGAAGAGTACAAGTGACATAGGTCTAAAATTTAGTGCTAATAAAGAAGGCGTGAAATTAAAGGGTTTTGTAGATGCTGACTATGCAGGAGATAGGGATGGTAGGAAATCAACTTCCTCTTACGTATTCACCTTATCAAATTCGTGTGTTAGTTGGAAATCACAGTTACAACACATAGTTGCACTATCCACTACAGAGTCAGAATATATTGCCACCACTGAAGCAATTAAAGAGGTTCTATGGCTTAGAGGTCTACTTCATGAACTGAGTGTCTTGAATGAGTATGTGGTTGTGTATTCTGATAGTCAGTCATCCATACATTTGTGTAAGAATCCTATTTTTCACGAACACACTAAACATATCGATGTTAGGTTACACTTCATTAGGGATATAATATCACAAGAAGTAGTAAGACTTGAAAAAATTCACACACAGTATAATCCTTCAGATATGGGCATGAAAGTGCTGCCACTGGTAAAGTTTAGAAGTTGCAAAGAGCTTCTAAACATCGGTACAGGTAAATGATTTCAATTTTATCAGTTTTTCTGTTAGAGGTGTCACTAATGGAAAAACGTTTTTCTTTGCAGGTCCTTTGACACCAAGGTGGAGGTTGTTAGACATCATGTTGTCAAACGACTTCCCGGGCGATGATGAAAACCAATTTTATCAGTCGACATGAATGACTGAACGATAAATCAACACCGAATTATGGATGAACGACCTAGCGTTGCTTTACCTATTGGATGGCTATTAATCTTTGTGGCTTGTTGATTTCTATTGGAACTTAACCCTAGTCGAGCCTACTTACCATATTGTAACTTACCTTAAGTTGGCCATTGAACTAATATATATTAGCAATTGACTCCTTCTCCCTTGTGGAGCCGTGCTTGAAGAGAACTTGAGAGAGAGAGGTGCTATTCTTCTTCTTCTCCTTCATGCTTCCTGCCAAGTTACCTTCCCTACCAATTGTTTGAGGCTTTGTGACTCTTACCTGTGTGGTATCCATCCTAAGTGTGTGGTAAAATC